CTTCTGGGCCCGCTGCTGCAGCTGCTGCTCCTGCCGGAACGCAGATGAGGACTGGGAGCGGGACTATGACGGGGGCCGGGGGTCCAGCTCTGGGGGACGAAGGCCGGGAAGGCCGGGCTCCCGGGGCTCCGGCGCCCGCCGGCCTAGTTCGCGGGGCAGCGGAGTGAATGCAGCCGGGGATGGCACCATCCGAGGTGAGGCCTGATGCACCGTGCAGCCGAGGGCCCTCAATGCGGCCATCTCTGGGGTGCTGGGAGGCTAAAGAGAGGGGCTTCACTGATGGGCGCTGTGGCCTTGCAGAGGGCATGCTGGTGGTGACCGGTGTGGATCTGCTGTGCGCCCGCTCCGACCACAACCGCCAGGAGCACCACACGGACGAGTTCGAGTATGACAACCTGATTGTGCGCAGGGGGCAGCCCTTCCACATAGTCCTCTTCCTGTCCCGGCCCTACGAGTCCTCGGACCGCATCGTTCTAGAACTCTTCATCGGTGAGTGGGGACCGGATGGGGCCAGGGGCCAGGAGTGTGTGTGTGTGTGTGTGTGTGTGTTTCCCAGGTCTAGCACTAGGCTCAAAGAGGCATCTTTAGGTGCCATCCCCACCTCACTCCTCACGGCCACAGGATAGGTCAGGGACCAGCGGATGAATGTGTCCCTAGCTAGCTGTGTGTCTCAGGGTCACACTCACTCTCCTCAAGGCCCCAGAGCCACGTGCCCCCTCTTCACCTGCCTGCCTCGAATCTGCCTTGCGTGTGTGTCTGTCTGTCTCGGTCTGCTCCTTCCCCAGGGGCAGGGCTGGTATTCTCCCTCTCCCTGTCCAGCTCGGTCTGTCTCTGGCTCTCTGGTCCCATGGCTCAGGGCAGGTGCCTCCCTCTCAGCATTGCCAGGTGGCCGGCCATTGACTGCCCAGGCTGATGATTATGCTAATGTTGGAGGCGGGAGACTCCTCATACCCTTTGATTAGGGCCTACCCTTGCCCACCCCAGCTTCTAATTTCCCAGGTGCCCCCAGCACCTCCACCAGGGAATGCCCTGACCTCTGGAGGCTGCAGCCCTAAGCAGCAGGCTGCCCTTTCATGAGGGACCCTGCCTGGTGGCCAGGCCCTGGGACAGTCAGGCAGGCGGGTGGCAGGGTGACAGTGGCCCTCCTCCCCACCTCTGAGCTTTGTGTCAGGGAACAGGTTTGGGACGTTGCACCAGAGCCCTGCCCAACATGCAGGTGAGCATCGGGTGGGGACACAGCTGCTCTCAGAGAAACTGTCACAGACTGAAGCAATGACCCAGCTCAGGGACGCACGCACCGGCTCAAATGCATTCTGGGTGTGGGTGGGGCTGGTCGTCCCAGACTCGGTGCCCCCTCCGCTGGGCGTGCTCTCCAGCTCATGGCCGCTTCTCCCACTCTAGGTAACAACCCCGAAGTGGGCAAGGGCACCCACGTCATCATCCCGGTGGGGAAAGGGGGCAGCGGAGGCTGGAAGGCCCAGGTGACCAAGGCCAGTGGGCAGAATCTGAACCTGCGGGTCCACACCTCCCCCAACTCCATCATCGGCAAGTTTGAGTTCACGGTCCGCACGCGCACAGACGCTGGAGAGTTCCAGTTGCCCTTTGACCCCCACAACGAGATCTACATCCTTTTCAACCCCTGGTGCCCAGGTGAGCCTGCTGGAATCAGAAGCCGGTGGGACGGTGGGGCGGTGCGGGGGAGGCAGAAGGGCCGGGCAGGACATCAGGACATCCTTCCCCCGAGTGAGTCTGGGCACCTGGGTGCCTGCCGTAGGACAAGCCAACCCCTTGTCCAGGCAGAGAGACCTGGTTCCAGTGTAGAAAGGGGACCACCGAGGTCATACAGCTTCCCCTCCGCTGGTAAAGGGCCCTGGGTATGTCACTC